TAGTAGACACCAGAACTATGGAGTGCTGCAGAAATAACCCATAGTTCTGGCCCCAGCAGCCTCCAGTATGCTAATTTAGCGTGGATGCGCGTGGAAACCCGGTGTATTTCACAGCACCCCAGTTAATTTTGAAATTTATCCATAGTAGAATAATAGTAGACATCAGATCTATGGAGTGCTGCTGAAATAACCCATAGTTCTGGCCCCAACAGGCTACAGTATGCCGATTTAGCGCCGATGCGCGTGAAAACGCGGTGTATTTAACAGCACCCCAGTTAATTTTGAAATTCATCCATAGTAGAATAATAGTAGACATCAGAACTATGGAGTGCTGCTGAAATAACCCATAGTTCTGGCCCAAACAGGCTACAGTATGCCGATTTAGCGCCGATGCGCGTGAAAACGCGGTGTATTTAACAGCACCCCAGTTAATTTTGAAATTTATCCATAGTAGAATAATAGTAGACACCAGAACTATGGAGTGCTGCAGAAATAACCCATAGTTCTGGCCTCAGCAGCCTCCAGTATGCTAATTTAGCGTGGATGCGCGTGGAAACCCGGTGTATTTCACAGCACCCCAGTTAATTTCGAAATTTATCCATAGTAGATTAAAAGTAGGCACCAGAACTATGGAGTGCTGCAGAAATAACACATAGTTCTGGCCCCAGCAGCCTCCAGTATGCCAATTTAGCGTGGATGCGCGTGGAAACCCGGTGTATTTCACAGCACCCCAGTTAATTTTGAAATTTATCCATAGTAGAGTAATAGTAGACACCAGAACTATGGAGTGCTGCAGAAATAATACATAGTTCTGGCCCCAGCAGCCTCCAGTATGCCAATTTAGCGTGGATGCGCGTGGAAACGCTGTGTATTTCACAGCACCCCAGTTAATTTTGAAATTTATCCATAGTAGATTAATAGTAGACACCAGAACTATGGAGTGCTGCAGAAATAACCCATAGTTCTGGCCCCAGCAGCCTCCAGTATGCTAATTTAGCGTGGATGCGCGTGGAAACGCGGTGTATTTCACAGCACCCCAGTTAATTTTGAAATTTATCCATAGTAGATTGATAGTAGACACCAGAACTATGGAGTGCTGCAGAAATAACACATAGTTCTGGCCCCAGCAGCCTCCAGTATGCCAATTTAGCGTGGATGTGCGTGGAAACCCGGTGTATTTCACAGCACCCCAGTTAATTTTGAAATTTATCCATAGTAGATTAATAGTAGACACCAGAACTATGGAGTGCTGCAGAAATAACCCATAGTTCTGGCCCCAGCAGCTGGGGTGCTGTTAAATACACCGCGTTTTCACGCGCATCGGCGCTAAAGCGGCATACTGTAGCCTGCAGTTAATTTTGAAATTTATCCATAGTAGATTAATAGTAGACACCAGAACTATGGAGTGCTGCAGAAATAACACATAGTTCTGGCCCCAGCAGCCTCCAGTATGCCAATTTAGCGTGGATGCGCGTGGAAACCCGGTGTATTTCACAGCACCCCAGTTAATTTTGAAATTTATCCATAGTAGATTAATAGTAGACACCAGAACTATGGAGTGCTGCAGAAATAACACATAGTTCTGGCCCCAGCAGCCTCCAGTATGCCAATTTAGCGTGGATGCGCGTGGAAACCCGGTGTATTTCACAGCACCCCAGTTAATTTTGAAATTTATCCATAGTAGATTAATAGTAGACACCAGAACTATGGAGTGCTGCAGAAATAACCCATAGTTCTGGCCCCAGCAGCCTCCAGTATGCTAATTTAGCGTGGATGCGCGTGGAAACGCGGTGTATTTCACAGCACCCCAGTTAATTTTGAAATTTATCCATAGTAGATTAATAGTAGACACCAGAACTATGGAGTGCTGCAGAAATAACACATAGTTCTGGCCCCAGCAGCCTCCAGTATGCCAATTTAGCGTGGATGCGCGTGGAAACCCAGTGTATTTCACAGCACCCCAGTTAATTTTGAAATTTATCCATAGTAGATTAATAGTAGACACCAGAACTATGGAGTGCTGCAGAAATAAGACATAGTTCTGGCCCCAGCAGCCTCCAGTATGCTAATTTAGCGTGGATGCGCGTGGAAACCCGGTGTATTTCACAGCACCCCAGTTAATTTTGAAATTTATCCATAGTAGAGTAATAGTAGACACCAGAACTATGGAGTGCTAACCCATAGTTCTGACCCCAGCAGCCTCCATACATCTCAACGAGCCTTCAAATGTATCGCGTAATGTCTGATGTACCGGGATGCTATGTCCCGCAATACGGCTGGGGCGCGCCGCGCGACCTGCGCGCCTGAAAACTTTTTCCGTTATATAAGCTTTATTTTTGCAGAACTATTCATAATTTCTATCAGGAACTCTAGAACTATACCCTTAGAACCGAAAAATCACTCGAGAACTGTTGCACTATCAAAAAGGGGTGCGGCGCGAAGTTAGCACCCCTGTTCTCAGCCGGGAGCAGAATATAGAGATAGGGGTACCAGGTGCCACTGACCATGACACTGGGACTTGGAATTACACAACAATGGCTGAATGCCTATAAATTATCACTTAAGTAATGAGGCAAAAACATATTTTTTTTAACCAACTTTTGTTTTAACCAACACTAACCGTCCATGTTTAACGAGCTTCAAAAGTAAAGACCAGAACATAGATGAAGTTTTTCAAACAAAATATCTCGGAGTTATAGTGGATAGATTTTTGAAATGGCATCCCCATATGGAATATATTATATCCAACAGAACACATGGATTAGTCCGCAAATTTTTTCTTTTAACACAATTTTTGAACAAAAAGATGGTCATTGTCCTATATAAAGCATTGGGAGAATCGATTATTGGATATGGGCTTCTGGTGTGGGGTGGAACATATGGAAATGCCTTGGGAAATGCTCTCATAGGTTTGAGCGTTGACGAAAAATACATATTGAAAATTATCTTCAAGGAAAACAAACTATTTCCAAGTGAACAACCAAGTGAATTACTTTTTTCTGAGGAAATTTGCAACATTAGAACTTAGTATATAATCGCAGTTGCCACCTCGGTTGCCACTTTCACTCATAAAAGAAAAACATTCAATCCCATTAATCATTGTTATCCTACCCGTATTTAGTTGAACAATCACTATGCTAGTAGCATAGTGATTGTCATCGGAGGAACACGGAAGAGAACACTTCATCCTCTACCACACCGCCTCTGAAGATGTCTACAGCAGCAGTAGACGAAACGTTAGATAGAAATGGACCACGGCATTACAGCCCGAAAAATACTTTTTTACTAGATTTGACCGGCCGTGAAAGCCTTCATTCTTTAATCACTATGCTATTCCAGTAAATTTCAATAATATTAACTTGAAGAATATGGCTTACTTGGGTCCAGAGATTTATAATAAAGTCAAATCCTCACTAGGGACTATTTTCAATTCAAACCCGGTGTTTTTGATTTGGAGAAAATAGCTAAGCTCTGTTCCAACTGAGATGAAAATCGTTCCAGAACCAGTAATTTCCAGTTGTCCACCTATTATTCAATAAGTTTGAACATTTATCCTAATTGACAAATGAATTGATCGACTGGAAATTACCGTTCTAGAATGGTGCTCATGTCGGTTGGAACAGAGCTCTAGACACATTTTGAGGAGCCCTTTGTTTCTGCTCAATTACTTCTTATTTGTTAATAGTTCCTAAATGAAAATTCTCGTCAAAATTTAAACCTGCATGCGTTTTGGTAATAATTCTTGTTTTGTTCAATAATAACCTTGTTTGGGTTTGAAAAAGGGCCGTTCTAGAACGGTTCAAAACAATCTCACAGTTTATCAATCAAAAAAATGACAACGTCTCGGCTATCACAAATTTCAATAATAAAGGTGGGTTTATACAGCACATAACATAACATAAGAAATAAGATAAAATAAGATAAAAAGTTGACCTTATGGAAACCCCTAATGGCGTTTATACAGAAAATAACATAACATAACATAACATAAGAAATAAGAAAGTTGGTTAACTTTTAACTTTTATGTCTTATTTTATGTGAAAACGGATCTGCGCATGCTCATCCCTCGATGTCGACATATGGCGGAATAGTAAACAAAACATCCAAATAAAACAAAATTATTTTGATTTTGGTTTCGGCTTTTGGTAATTTCTTGGATTCGTTATTTATTTTTGTGTTCCTGCTGAATTATTAATTAATAAATTTTTTCATCAAATATACTGTTTTCATTGGAGTTTATATAAGTACAAGTACCAGCTGATTGGTTAGAAATTATTTCTTATGTTATGTTATTTTCTGTATAAACGCCACAAAATTCTTATTTCTTATATTATGTTATGTCTTATTTTATCTTATTTCTTATGTTATGTTATGTGCTGTATAAACCCACCTTAACCAACTTTATTATTTCTTATGTTATGTTATGTTATGTTATTTTCTGTATAAACACCATAAGGGGTTTCCATAAGTTCAACTTTTTATCTTATGTTATGTTATTTCTTATGTTATGTTATGTGGCTGTATAAACCCACCTTAAACTGTTCTAGAACCGTACTCTTTTCAAACCTGAACAATGCTATTGTTGTCTTTTAATAATACAAAAATCCTGTTAGAAGTTGATGGGATACATGATACATGCTATTTTGTTTAGCTGCTTCTGCATGGATCGAGGCATGGACTTCAAAAAAAAAAAAAAAAAAAGCCGCGTCCACTTCCACCCACACCAAAGATGGGCAAGCCGCTGGGCCCTGGCATGTCCACACCTGCCCAAAGAAGCCACCCGGCTCTGCCGATCGGCAAAGCCGACTTGGTGTCGACAGGGCTTGATGGCCGAGGCTCTGTGGCATCAGGCATTCAAAACAAATCATTGTGCAATTGTGCATGATCAAAAAAACAAATTATAAGCTCAAGCTCACATATGGATAGAGAAAGGGACTGACAAAATTGTCTTGTTAATTGTTGTCCTTGTTACAATAAATATAAAAAAGAAATATATTTACCCATGTTGTTCTAGAAATATCAATTATTTTTATTATTGTGTGTGTCCTATCGTCGTCCTACTCGTAGTAATATTTTTTTCTTCAAATCTTCAAAAACCAGCCGGCCCTGGCAGCAGACAAAACTCAACAAAATCCAATGATTGCAAATGGCAAATTGTTTTCCGTTTTCCCTTGTATTTTCTTTTTTTGTTTGACTCCAATTGCCCACTGCCCGACCGCCGCGGCGGTCCAATACAGGGCCGAGTTCAGAAATAACGCACAGTGCGAGTGCCATTTTATGGGTGTGCCTGAATTGACAAATGGCCATTGGGCCCATAGCACCGTCTAGTATTTTTGAACAGCTAGGGCGTCGCACCGGTGTCACACTCACAGTGGGTGTGTCATTCCTGAACTCGCCCCAGGGTTGAGTTTAGAAGTAGCACTCTGGCAAAGCCCCCTGGTGTCAGAGTAACTCTAAACCGTTCATAAATTAACCAGGGTGCTTACTCGGAGGGTTACGTGGGAATCGTTCAGAAATCGAGAGTTGACGTGCCCAGAGTGCGCCCAAATTACCCCACTCAGGGGGCGCGTTCAGATTGAAGAGTCCGGGGGCGCGTTCAGATTGAAGAGTCCGGACGACGTCCAGTGAAGAGCGCACCCGATAGAGAGCGCACTCCGAGTGTGCCCGGCGATTCGCCCAATCTGAACGGCCAAGACGCATTCTCTCTTTATAACCTCACTGATTCTAACATTTTTGCCATTTTCTTCAAAATTTTTTAAATAAATACTAACTATGGAAGAAGCCATAGTATCTTCCTTCATATTTAAAGAGTTATTTAATGATGCGGACGCTTCATCTTCGGACCACGAGGATGTGCTAGTGTCAGTGATTGCTATCAATTTAGCATCACAAACTAAACAAAAAAAAAGAGGCTACTTTTTTTTTAAATAGAGTTGATGAGGATAACGAAGAATTTGGATAAACCCACCATAACTCGCAAAAATAATTATTTACAATATTTGCGTTTATTATTTAAGGTTAGAAGACAAACGCACATGCGGGGCAAATTTTATCTTGCTATTTTATGGGACGCAAAAGTGTGCGTCCGGGCGTCGTCCGGTAAAAATCTACTGACAATCTGAACGGCTGGGTAAATTTTACCCAAAGCAATCTGAACGGTCAGAACGCGCTCGGGCGACACCCGACGTTCAATCTGAACGCAGCCCGGGCGACGTCCAGTGCAGAGCATGGGCGCGTTCAGATTGAAGAGTCCGGACGACGTCCAGTGAAGAGCGCACCCGATAGAGAGCGCACTCCGAGTGTGCCCGGCGATTCGCCCAATCTGAACGGCCAAGACGCATTCTCTCTTTCTAACCTCACTGATTCTAACATTTTTGCCATTTTCTTCAAAATTTTTTAAATAAATACTAACTATGGAAGAAGCCATAGTATCTTCCTTCATATTTAAAGAGTTATTTAATGATGAGGACGCTTCATCTTCGAACCACGAGGATGTGCTACTGTCAGTGATTGCTATCAATTTAGCATCACAAACTAAACAAAAAAAAAGAGGCCACTTTTTTTTTAAATAGAGTTGATGAGGATAACGAAGAATTTGGATAAACCCACCATAACTCGAAAAAATAATTATTTACAATATTTGCCTTTATTATTTAAGGTTAGAACACAAACGCGCATGCGGGGCAAATTTTATCTTGCTATTTTATGGGACGCAAAAGTGTGCGTCCGGGCGTCGTCCGGTAAAAATCTACTGACAATCTGAACGGCTGGGTAAATTTTACCCAAAGCAATCTGGGCCGAGATTCTAAAATCACGATTCGACACACGACTCGACAACGATGCCGGCCTTGTCGTGTCGAAAGGTATAATTCCAATGAGATTTCTAACCTAGAATCGTCGGAAAAATCGTCTCGTTGTCGAATCGTATGTCGAATCGTGATTTTAGAATCCCCGACCTGAACGGTCAGAACGCGCTCGGGCGACACCCGACGTTCAATCTGAACGCAGCCCATACCCTATAGAGAGCGCACCCCGAGTGTTCCCGGCGATTCGCCCAATCTGAACGGCCAAGACCGATTCTCTCCTCATAGCCTAGCCTAGCCTCATTATTTATGGGATGCATTGATTTTGATTTTGTTGCCTTTTCAAAGTCGTGATTCTAACATTTTTGCCGTTTTCTTCATAATTTTCCAAATAAATAGTAACTATAATGGAAGAAGCCATACTATGTTCCTTCCAATGAACTATAACCAAAAACTGGAATGCGAACACATATTGACGAACGTGAAGCCTAGTGCCGCTGCTGCGGAGGGGATACCTGTTTTTGTCGCACTCATTATGTTAAATGGCGGAAATTGCTTCCAACACGTATTCCACCTTGCGTTCGGTATTTTGCTCGAAGAGCAGAGCGTGCTGAGCGGAGCCGTAATCACGTGACCAGCGAGGGAACAGAGCAGTTGAACGCTAAATAAAAGTGCCTGAAATTTTAATAAACGAACGCGAATGAGGCTGCACCGAGTACACTTTCTGAATAAACGAACGGTAAAGTCATGCTCGGAGAACTCAGACCAAAATAACGAACGCACGGTTTTGATGAAACCTGAAAGCAAATATGACAAAACTGTCCAAAACGTCATATGTCAGCGAGCAACAGAAAAAAACCAAGAATCGTAAACTCTACCTGGGCAGTGTTCGTTTTTGTCATCTTTTTCATCGATTTGCTCCGAAATTTTGACAGGCACGTGATTTGTAAATTGAAACTGTCTGATCCAGTCACGTGCCTGTCAAAATTTCGGAGCAAATCGACGAAAAAGATGACAAAAACGAACACGGCCCTGGATTGCTCAAGCGGCTAAATTTGTTCACAATTGCTGTGACGTCACGCGCATGCCGGATTTTCAAGATGGCCGCTGATACGAATGATGTTTAGTTTGTGCTGACAAGTCTGACAACTATTTTATCGTAAATTCGGATTTATCTAGTGTTATAAGTGTAAATTTAAAGTTTCATTTAATGTGTGTAAGCATAAAAGACTCGTGGCTGAAAATACTCGCGAAAACCCCAAGCATTTTCTGGTTTTATAATACTGGATTTGTTGTATCAGGACATCGCTCTTTTATTTTGTGTGTATTGCTAGTTAGTATTTCCTAGTCAAGCATTTGTTTTGCTTTTTTTTTTATAAATCAAATATCTACTTAGTTGTAAGTTTCCTTTGCATGTAATTACTAATAAAAATTAGGGTTTGTGAAGAGTGAATAAATAAATATGTAAATAAATTCCTTTACTGGCGCGTTTACTATGAAAACGCATGGAAAATATGGGAAACTTGCAATGTTTTTCTGGAATATGATTATGAGAATCTAAATTAGGTATCACTATTTGGCTTTGTGAAATAAGCTCACTTTGAATGTCCATATTAAATCGTTCTAGTACCTATTAAATTAATGAATAATAATTGAGAAGTACCTAGGTAGGGTCAGTAAAAAATAAAGCACACTATTGCAACCCCGTTTCGCTTATATTTTGATATTGAAATGCAAAAATTAAACCGGCTCGGCACCCCACATTTGGTTTTCTACTGTTTCTCAACTCTGTAGTCAATTGTGCCCGTTTTGTGCTCAATTGTGCCAGTATTTATGCGAATTGTGCTTTTTCATACACACAAAAAAACATTGAAACGAATCCGGGGGCCAGCTTGACTCCAGCCCTTCGTTTTTTTGACTTTTTGGCAATATGTTTGGCTAATTGATAAACAAAAGCAAACAAACTCGTCTTTCTAATTAGCAATTAGCCAACCACTCAAGCCTCAAGGACACAAGCTTTTGGAGTCTGCTAATTTTAAAATCAATAAATTATTTACAAAATACAATTTTCAAAGGAAATAACCTCAAAATAACAATTTTTCACGTTTGAAAATGCAAGGATAGTGCACTGTCATAAAAAACACAAACCGATCAAGGACTGCGTGACGTCATTCCCATACCGCCATCTTCGATGTTTTTATGAACGTTTGTCTTATGGGATTGAGCAATCCTGTATAGAGTTTACGATTCTTGGAAAAAAACAACATTCCCCTTTGTGGCATCTATCTTTCATGGCTACATTTTTTTGGCAGATATGGCAATGTGTGCGCATTCCAGTTTTTGACTATAGTTCATTGGTTCCTTCATATTCAAAGAGTTAAGGGCCCCATACACTACGATGAAACACGACGGTTTTCACCGCCACGATGAAACACGTCGTTCTAAAACCGAAGTGTGTAATCGAAAAACACGACGGTTTTCTACAGGGCCCCATACACTACGATGAAACACGACGGTTTTCACCGCTACGATGAAACACGTCGTTCCAAAACCGAAGTGTGTGGTAGAAAACCGTTCGTGTGTACGAAATGTTGAACCGTCGCGTCCCGTCGTGGCAAAAATCAAGCTCGGACTGAATTTTAAACCGACGATGAAACACGACGGTTTTCTACCACACACTTCGGTTTTGGAACGACGTGTTTCATCGTGGCGATGAAAACCGTCGTGTTTTATCGTAGTCTGTTGGGCCCTGTAGAAAACCGTCGTGTTTTTCTTTTACACACTTCGGTTTTAAGGGCCCCATACACTACGTTCTTTCTCGTCGGTTTTCATCGCCGCGATGAAACACGTCGTTCCAAAACCGAAGTGTGTGGTAGAAAAACACGACGGTTTTCTAGAAAAACACGCCGGTTTTCTACCACACACTTCGGTTTTAAAACGACGTGTTTTATCGTGGCGATGAAAACCGTCGTGTTTCATCGTAGTGTATATGGGCCCCTTTAGAACGACGTGTTTCATCGTGGCGGTGAAAACCGTCGTTTTTCATCGTAGTGTATGGGGCCATTTATTGAATGATGAAGACGCTTCATCTTCGAACGACGAGGATGTGCTAGTAGGTCTGTTTCTGCAGAAATCACAAACCAGTCAGAGTGAATTTGATTGGTTGAAACTAGTTTTCTGACTGTTTTCAACCAATGAAATGCGCTCTGACTGGTTTTGTGATTTCTGCAGAAACAGACCTAGTGTCAGTGATTGCTATCAATTTAGCAGCACAAACTAAACAAAAAAAAAGAAAGAGGCCACCTTTTTTTAAATAGAGTTGATGAGGATGATGAAGAATTTGGTTAAACCCGCCATAACTCGCAACTTTAAAATATTTGTCTTTAATATTTAAGGTT